GGGAGGTTCCAGCCTGGAGGTTCCGCCGGCTGCTGGTTATAACAGACCTTTGTCTTCAGGCGTCCTTTTGTCTTGACAAGTACTTTATGCTCTAATATAACATTCTGAAAGTTCTTTCCCTTTATTATCTCCTGGCTCCAAAGAATGTGTTTGCCTAAAAAAAGAAAAACATTTTGATCACAGCCAGAAGCCCAAGTCACCACTGTAGCATCCAGGTCCATCACTTCACAGAGATGAGTTTGTTATAGTGCCTGTGTAACTAGTGTAACACAGATAGCAGTTTCTACTCTATTATTTCTTTATTCGTTACTCTAAGATAAATTAATAAATGATATTATAGGAAAGTTAATGATTTCCAGAAAAATAATTTTAATCACGGTGGTTTATATTTCAGAATTTATGAATGAATTTGCAAATAAAAAATATGCTGATGTGTTTACCTGAAAACTTCAGTATGTTAAAGTTAAGACTTTATCCGTTTAAAATATGTTTAAGGATGAGTTAAAATACTTTTTATCTGTTTAAAAATTACTTAGGATCCTGTGGCTCCTTCAGGTGTTTTTCTTATATTAAACTTAAATGCTGGTGTTTAGTTCTCCAGACTCCCTCCTCACCATGAGCGTATCCAGGCTTATTTTCTACCTGGTTGAAAACATCATCACTAAGTTGTCAGCGGCTTAGTTGAGCAGTCAAACTATATTATTCAATATCTTGTCTGACATGAGGACCCCACTGCAAAGAAAGAGATGTCTCAAGTTGGTGCCACACTTCAATAAATAGAGACATTTCATTTGGCACCACACTAATTCAATCCAGTTCAGTTAACTCTTTTTTTCCCCATGTAAGGGCAGATAAAAAAGGCAGCCATGAATGACTGAGCTGGTCATATGTTTGACACATCAGTGTGTGTAGACAAAGCAGACCACAGTGGAAGGCTCAGCCTTTGGATTTCAGACAAGACCAGTGTGGGAGCCTCCCTTGGCACATGGTGCTGAGTGGAACCTCAGCTCACAGGCAAGCTCATACCTACAGCCTGCTCAGGTACAAAGAGAAGGGGCTGGGCCTGAATGCCTTGCCCTCCCCAGCCCTGGCAGGATAGAGAAGCCCAAGAGTAGTCACTGTCTTCTCAGGTTCTTGAGTTTCATTTTAGCTTCCTGAACAAAAAGTATTCAACACTGTGTAATGTTTTATGATTTTGATAAAAATTTTGCTCCAAATATGTGCCTTAAAAACCCTTCTGATAATGTAATGCCCATGCTTCTGTTATTTCCCAGCTCAGTAATTTCTCACTGAGACAGACAGTGAATGAATGTATTCGTGACATTTTATTCTTGGGGATGAGCAGACTAGATCAGAACCCCACATGTGGAATGTTGACACCTTATTGAGAGATAACCAACATTGTTGGAAAACATGCTTGTTGCTCCATGGATAAGGTCTGAGATTCCTGAGTTTGGCCTTAGAACCCTTCAGAGGCATCTTACCCTGAAGTTTGTGCTCCAGAGTCCTGTGGTGATACCACTGCCCAGAACTCCGTGCTCTCCCCACTGTCCACAGAGCCCTCTTTTAGACAACCAAGCCTCTCTGCTTTTCATGAAGCCTCAAATCCTGATTCTCCCATGAATCGGGCCTTCTTCAATGGATTCCATGGGAACACATGGCGTTCCCACACTTGCTCTTAAGAACTTTGAGCTAGCCTTGCCCTCCATCCTGTGGATGCAGCTTTATCCCACAGTGAAGCAAAGTTGGCCAGTTAATCCAAAGTGCCCGTGTCGGGGCTTCGGCTTTACAGTTGGCACTCACAAAGATCTGTCGGCAGAAGTAGGTGCAGGGCTGGTGTCCCAGTTAGGACGGATCTCTGAGCCAGGTTCTGCCAGTCAGCAGTGGAAGCACTTGAGATAGTGGCCTAACATCACTTTTAAAAGTGGGGTTACAGAAGAGAGAATATGGTACCACATGGCCCTCTTTTTTTTTAATTTTTTATTAATTACACTTTATTCATTTTGTTTCCCCCCATAAGCCCCTCCCTCCTCCCCTCCCGATCCCACCCTCCCTCCCCTTTCAGCATGCATGCCACTCCCCAAGTCCACTGATAGGGAAGGTTCTCCTCTTCTTTCTGATCTTAGTCTATCAGTTCTCATCAAAAGTGGCTGCATTGTCCTCTTCTGTGGCCTGGTAAGGCTGCTCCCCCCTCAGGGGGAAGTGATCAACGAGCAGGCCAATCAGATTATGTCAGAGGCAGTCCCTCTTCCCATTACTATGTAACCCACTTAGACACTGAACTGCCATGGGCTACACCTATGCAGGGGTACCAGGTCATCTCCACGAATAGTCCTTGGTTGGAGTATGAGTCTCTGGGAAGTTCCCTGTTTTCAAATTATCTTGTTCTGTTGCTCTCCTTGTGGAGTTCCCGTCCCCTCCAGCTCTTACTATTTCCCACTTCTTACATAAAATTCCATTCACTCTGCCCATCAGTTAGCCATCAGGCTCAGCATCTGCTTTGACAGTCTATACTGCAGAGGCTTTCAGAGGCTCTCTGTGGGAGGTTTCAAGGTTGTTTCCTGTTTTCTTCTGGCTTTCAGAGGCCCTCTGTAGCGGGTTCCGAGGTTGTTTCCTATTTTCTTTTTCTTCTGATGTCCATCCTCTTTGCCTTTCAGGATGGGGGTTGAACATTTTAGTTAGGGTCCTCTCTTTGCTTAGTTTGTTTAGATGTACAGATTTTAATGGGTTTATTCTATGTTGTATGTTTATATGAGTGAGTATATACCATGCGTGTCTTTTTGCTTTTGGGACAACTCACTCAGGATGATCCTTTCCAGGTCCCACCATTTACCTGCAAATTTCATGATTTCCTTATTTTTCATTGCTGAGTAATACTCCATTGTATAGATGTACCACAGTTTCTGCATCCATTCTTCAGTTGAGGGGCATCTGGGTTGTTTCCAGCTTCTGGCTATTACAAATAAAGCTGCTACAAACATGGTTGAGCAAATGTCCTTTTTGTGTACTTGAGCCTCTTTTGGATATATGCCTAGGAGTGGTATGGCTGGATCTTGAGGAAGCACTATTCCTAGTTGTCTGAGAAAGCGCCAGATTGATTTCCAGAGTGGTTGTACCAGTTTACATTCCCACCAGCAGTGGAGAAGGGCCCTCTTAATTGTCATAAAAGCAATAGTTAATTTTGGAAAAAGTTTCAAAGAGTCCAGATTAAGTACCTCAAATGATCACAAAATCATGCATGGGACATGTTCTTTTCCATGTTACTCCGTTCATGTCCTCTACCCACAGCAGTCTTATTTGGGAGATACTTTGCTCTCATGGTTTTAGTGAAGGAACCAGGATGTAGTCAAAGTAATGTGTTCAGCATCACCAAGCAGCAGGCAGGGGTCGAGCCACCGCGTGCACACAGCCCCAGGCCTCAGCCCTGCTCTGGTCTTGAGCACTTGGGGTGGACACCCCTGCGTGTAGAGTGTGTCACGCGTGGGCTGTCTGCCAGTAGAGACCGGTGGACACTGCGCTGGTGCAGAGAATGTGTCATGAGGCCGCGGGGCGAGAGACCTGGCCTCACTGACCCTTCCGCTCTGCCATATTGACTTGAGAACTGGAGCCAGCAGAAGCCACCAGCATTGGTTCCCAGAGTGCAATCCTGTAGGTGCGGGGAACTCTGCTGACAGCCTCTGGGACTCTCCTTGCAGTTTCCCAGCTTGTCAGGGCTTGGGGGCACGGCTAGTGCTATAGCACTCCTGTAGGACCTCGCAGACCGCCATTCGGGTGGCGCCTGCCGGCTGGGGAAGAGTAGCACTCCAGGCCTGTCAGTGGCGTTCTGCAGGGACCCGGCATGTTTCCTGCTTGCCCGTCCCGCTGCCCAGTGCAGTGTTAAAGTGCTTCCTCGGGCTCTCCTGGGAAAGGGCCACAGCCTGGGGTCACAGCAGTGTGCCCTGGCTGTGGAGGACATTTTCTTGATGTGGTCCTACATGCATCGGGCATTTTAGGATTTGCAGTGTGGGATATGACATGTACCTGGGATTAGGGAAATGTTTCAGACAGGATTTCCAGTGTCTACACTTCCCATCACAGTTGAGATTTTAAAAGTGAATTCCCTAAGTCTTCAGAGCAGTCTGTTTTTTATGTAGTATGCAGGTAATGGAAAAATATGTCTTTTTAATTGTTGTATGTGGAATAAAAAGACTCCCAGGACATTACTGTGCTTTGTATCTGTTTTGAGGATAAGTGCCCTAAGTGCTGGGCACAATTTAAAGGAGAAGAGCACTGATGAAACATTTCACTCATCAGATGCCTTTGAAGTTGAGCTTCTCAGGGGTGCTTGTAGTCTCCTTCCTAATGGACATGTTTCAAAGGAGAAAGTGGCTGTGGCATTCTGCTGGGATGTCTCCCAATGAACGAACTCTTTTTTTTTTTCTTTTTTTTTGGTCTGTTTCTGACTGAATTTTGAAAGCTAGCTACTTAGAAATCACATTAATGACAGAATTGTTTCTGCTACTGTGGACTCATTCTCATCGACAGGGTAAGGTTTAAAAGTTAGGTTTTCCAGGATGCTTGACATTTTAAACAAAGGGTACGTGATCTCTTTTATTCCATATCTTTCCAAACCTAAATTTTCTCAGCTTTCCATAGTAGTATATCAGAAGGGTTGAGGTATATATGAAATGAAGAATATAAGAACTACTTTTATGAAGTATCTTGTTGGTAAAGTCACTACGCTTAAAGGCATTTAGAAACTGTGTATTTAAGATTGATGGTTCCTTGATTCTGGTAATGGGAGGGGTTTTTTTCATTTCAGGTGTCTTTTAAACCTGCAAATGCTTTAAGGATGTTGAATAAATACTGTTTTGCTTTATATATCTTGAGTTGAATCTCACTCACCTAAGCTAGACATTTAACAGACATATTGTAGTATGGCTTAAAATGTTTCTATTTTTCTGTTAATTACCATATAGGCTGTGCCATATTTAACCTTTATTTTATGCTTTATTACTTAGTTTTCATATGAATCCAACAAGCAGTGAAGACCTCAGGAAAATCCCGGTAAGTTACCAAGGGGTAACGAGATCACGAGAGAGTGAGCCTGGCTTCTCTCTAGCGTATTCCCTGCACGCCTGTCTCCCTGAATGCCTCAGTTGCAGAAATACCATTGATCAGTTGGTATTTGGGGGAGAAAAGAAAGTGAGGTTAAGACTTTGCCTGCACTACACAAGTGAGTGTAGTGGATGTGCTCAGAGCTAGTCAAGCTAACGCCGTTGTAACTGACGCCTCCCTAGGAGGCACGTGTATGTTTGTAATGTATGCCTTTAACGTGAAAGCTGCACATCAGAGTTAGCACTGCACTCGTGAAAGTACACGACATTTGTTGTTGGGACAGGGATTTAAAAGAGAGCAAAGCATCTGGCCAGTGTACAATAGAAAAGCAGCAGGGTAAGAGACCGGGGGTTATCAGGACAGGCTTTGGAAGGACAAATACTTCAGGGTGCTTACCTTCTGAGTGCAGCCAAACCAGATCTGTCCCAGGGCTGGCAGCAGTCAATTAAATGGATGTGTGTAGTTTGCAGGGACTGCTGAGCCTAACTTTGTTTCATTGTTACCTGATGTTCAGGATTGTATAGCAGAGTTCAGTTACATCTGAGTCTTCTAAATATGTTGACCTGGAGAATAAATCACTTCATGAAAGTACAGGCAGATGTTCGTGGGGGAAAACTACATACTCACTGAGTAACAGAAAGAGGCCGGTGGCTGCTGTTTCCACCATCTGCCCGTAATGTGTGTGAGCCAGATGTATTTAAATTTTTTCTAGCAATTGCATATCCCAATTTCTAATATATAGTTTGTCTAAAAGAAGTCAAGGTGGGATTACGGTCTATTTTATAAACATTTTCAGTGCAGTTGTCTTTCTAAAGAATGGTAGAAGACACTGTGGATGCACAGGATTCTAGATAATGCTTTGCTGCTTTATGTAAATGATTTTTAAGTTTTGATGTTTCATAAATACTTGTCTTTAAAACATGGCCGTCGTGAAGCAATGTCAGACTATATGAAGTCAGCCTTTGATCAGATAGCGAAATGAATTCTACCGGGCTGTTACTTAATCTCAAACAAAATGCAACATCAAAAGTTGATTTAATATGTAGCTATTGTTTATTAGGTAACCTTAATTACAATTTCTGTGTGCTTGAAGATGTACTTTTCTAAATCTTATAATTTATTGCTGTTAAAACATCCTCAGAAATCTTTAAAGAAATAAAATGTGAAAATTGTTTTAGTTCAAGGATTTAAAGGTGATAAAAGAATCCTTGATGTGTGATTCTTTCTCTCTGGAATCTAACTATCCTAAGTGACAGTCAAGGATTACCAGATGTTGCTAATGTACTGTAAGATACAATTAAGAAGAGAAAGCATCCTTACAGTCGAGTTTCCAGGAGAAGTATTTGAACAATTTTTGTGTTGAAGATTATACGATGTTTGAAGTAATTTACGTGGAGTTGTCCAGTAATAGCCATCCGCCACGTTATTTTCTCTCCTTCTGGATGGAGTATTGTGTAATTAGGTTTGTGTGTCGACTCTGCTGGTGCCAACACCTGTCTGCTGAGGCGCGGTGTTTAGGCAGGAGCAGTAGCCAGTTGAAAGGGCAGTGAGAGCTCTTTAAGGCCTAATTAAGAGCTGAAAGGGAGATGAAGAGAGGAGGACAAAAGATGTGAAAGTAGCTGAGATGATGTTCCCAGAGCAGAGTTCCTCATTATACAATAATGAGATGATCTGAGAACGCCAGGCTTCATCTCCTCCCTCTCTCTTCCACTTGCCTTGGATGTCAGTTAGGACCCCACCAATATTTGGTTACCAGGGCAACCTTTCTTTAAATTTTCAGTTATTTTGAGTCTTGATAATTTGCTATTGTCTGAATTTAAATATTGTAATATATATGTAATATATATGTATATATATATATATGTATTTTCTGGTTTAAAAGGCTAGATTGTGTGTAAAGTAAAAATAGCAAATTCTGAGAATCTTCCATACGACTCTTTTTATTTAAAATTCTGGTTATAAACTTCATAGAGGACTGCTCCTCTCTTGCCCAGTCCCCCATCTTTGTGTCTGTGTAAGGGATTTTACTTTTAGCGGATGTGCAGTAGAAACGAAAGGTTAGTTATGAAAGAAAAGAGACAGCAAAATTTTATATTAAATTTCAAAACAAGAAAACGTCCTTAAAATTTGTGCTGCCTATGAAGCATAGGGGATAAATACTGAATTTATGGCAGTCCCATTGCAGGCTGTATTTGCTCTCTACCTGTTTTCAGGTCAGAGTTTTCAGTTTTTCCTGAATATTAGTAAATATATCTTTTGAAAATCGATTTTCATATTTGCTTGAGAGTTTCACTCTTTAAGAAAACTAATTTTTTTATAACCAGAAAACATTTTAACATTGTTTATATTGGTTAATATTAGTCTTTGTTATTTCCTTTGATGTTATAATTGTGTGTGTATAGTGATTGCTGGTTTAGAATTATATACCTAAAATTAGAAAATGTGCATGATTCTCAAACATTGAATAATATCTGGAGGCAAGCCTGATCTGTATAAATTATTTTTTCCCAGAGTGTAGTTTATCGTACATGTGTCTCTAGGATATATTTTTGCTCAGAAACCTGATGCTGAATTTTGGGTAAAACTTTCATCTGAAAAGAAGACAGGAGAAGTTTACTAAGAATAGAAATGTATTTCTAGGACTTAGGATGGGGTGACAGAGGTAAAGAACATGTGTATATTGTTCATTTTGGCTGTAAAATGTTGAGCAGTATGATGAAATATTAGGCCATCCTGAGAGACTGAGATGATTCCTGTCATGGCATCTATACTTCTTATGTCACAATGGAAAATTTTGGTGTTTCATTTACCTTCGTTGTTTTAAGATAAATGTTAAAATATTAGCTACATTAACCATTATCGTTAATGTCTGACTGTTACAGTAGTAAGTGTAACTGTGTGAATGATTTTTAAATGTCTGCTCACTTGTAATTTGAAAAATCATTGCAATTATTATGTAACTTGTTTAAAATTAGAGTCTTAGCAGATGCTAATATCTTATGTTCATTAAAAAAAAACACAAAACAAGTAATAGCCCTTTTAATTTCATGACTCCTATGATTCTTAGCTTTTCTAGTAAATATGTTATTAGAGAAATGAAATCATATTAGTTGGCCTTTATTAGTTTTAAAAATGCAGTTTAGAAAAAAGTTACTCAATAGATAGCAGAATTCTGGAACTGGAAAGTGTTAGAAAAGCTGCCTCTTCCAATAAGGAAAGTGATGCAGCCTGATTCCCTTATTTTTGTAGTGTTACTTGTGCTAAAGTACAGATTTCTGTACTTTTTCTGACAGATTAAAAACTCTAATGTTTCCTGTCTTTACTATGGAAGAATGCATAACACAATTCATATTTTATGAGAACATAATTAGTAAATGTATAATATGCTAAACAACCAGTGGCTAGCGCATGATGTCATAGGCTTACTTGACCCAAGAGGGAAGGTGGAAGCCAACACTTAGCTTCAGAATTACCCACATGGAGCTTAAGAGCAGCATTTGAAATGTTGGGGCACAAGTCATTTCATTCAAAGTTTCAGCTTCTCCTGTGTGCCAGTGGAAAATAAAAAAAGTAGTTTGAAGTATATCTTTCAGAATTCAAACTCATTTTCCTTAAATATTGTGTTTATTGGCTTACGATTAAAGTAGGCTTATAATAAACTTCAGAATCTAGTAAAGGATTTGATTTTCCTGTTTGAGGTCTTGGTAAGCATTATTTTTTTTTAATGGTGCCATTTTAAATGAAAATTTATTATATGATTTAAAAAATCTTTCACCTATTTTTATTGTGGCACTAGAGGCTGTTAAGATTTTTAAAGCATCCAAATTGATGTTTTCAGTATTCCAGTAGCTCTGAAGTAGCTTCTGCTCTCCCAAATGATATTATCCATGTTAGTTTCCTAGAACTGTGCCTCAGAGGTATTTCTGCTTACAGCTGATTGTAGCAGAAAAGTTAAGATGTGACTCTCTTCTGCTCAGACGCCTTCCGTGTTTTCTTATTTTCTAGGAAGAGTCTGCACTGCTCATGCTTGATGGGGCAGTGGGTATCACTGGAGCCTGTCTTCTCTTGTACTTGCTCTCTGGTCATGCCTCCCTGCCTGTGGCAGGCCACTGGACCTGGAGCCCTGTTTTACTAATTGTCCATGTTTATCCTACTGCCCATTTCTGCCTGGAGAGGGTGAAGGCTGTCACAAGCTGTCACTACCGAAACTCTGAGGCCTGGGGTATGGGAGAAAGTTCTCAGCTAAAGTTTGTATGTGCAGGAAGAAGGGACACATTGAGTGACGGGTGTCACTCTAGCCTCTGCCCTGGGGTCTTGCAGTAAGAGTGTATGGTGAAGAGCTGGCCTTGGATTAAATGGAAAAGCTCCAGACAAATAACACAGTCAAAGTAGATGCTGAAGATGGGAGAGACTTGCAGTTTCTATGGGAACAAGTTTTTCTGCGTTCCCTAGGCCTCAGCAATCTTCTGCTGGACAATCAAGTTCTGCCTTAAGAACAAGGAAACCAGGTTCTTAATGTGCTGGTTGATTTTTTTTTTTCTTCAAGCAAAATAAAGTGTTTGACCCAAAGTGATGCAAGTCATCCTAAATTGTTGGGTTTAGGGAGAGAACTATGTTTTAAAGGCCTAAAATTTGCTACTTTGTATCTAGACATTTACACAGTGGAGATCTAAATCCCAGGGCGTTGATATCCAGGGGATTTGTATATATTAAAGGTACCCTCACAAGTTGTTTTCTTTAAACCTTGGCGTCACAACGTTATAGAATAAAAGGAGTTAAGAGAAGACCGCCTTTTGGTTGTGTGCGTACTTTTATGTGTGTTTTTCTAACGAGTTGAGTATCGTGAGTAAGTGAGATGACAGAATGGGTAGCCGTCGTGACCATGAGCATTAACATGGCTGCAGCTGAGCTCCTACCTTCCTGATGACAGGGGAAGCATCACACAAACGGATGTTGTTTGTGGGAAATGGAAACACCCACGAGTCAGAAAGCAAAAGCTCAGCCAGCTGGTCAGCTAAGGCAGAAGCTGTGTCTGTAGACGGTGCCCGGGTTTAGCTCCAGGCACCGTCATTTCTCGACAGATTCGAGCAGCAGACTGGCACTTCTGTTTCTCACAGCCGTCATCATTAAAAAGCCCAGGTGAAAGTGTGAATCTGAGTTTAGAGGTAGCACTTCTGTGGGTGTTGTGTCTGAATATGCAATCCTTTGACTGGAATCCTACCGATGTTTAGTTTTCGCCTGTTTTCATTATATTGGCTGAGGTGTGGTTTGCTATTACAGACCATGTGGTATCCATGCCGTCTAGTTGCTGGGGAGGGAGCCGAGGGCCCTCTGCACGAAGCACATCCTTGCTCCCGCGCTGCATTCGCAGCACTCATGTTGAGCTTTAGTCCTCACCGACACGGGCAGTCTCTGGCGATAGGAAGATGTTCCCAGTGTAAGCAGGCGTTGCAGGTGCAGAGTTCGAATCAGGCTTTTGGTCTGTCTGCCCTCCTCCCTACCTGGGACTGGCACCCTGCTTCTAGCTATGGCTGGAGAGAAATTTGATCAGCTTCAGCAAAACCAGAAGGTGAAATTCCGACTAGCTCTTGATGTGTATGTCCCCGTGTCCTGCCCGCTAAAGCAAGTCTGCATTTCCTTCCAGGACAACAATCCTTTCGATGCCGTGGCTGGATACCGGAGTCTGACGTACGAAGAGGTGCTGCAGGAGCTAGTGAAGCACAAAGAACTCCTCCGGAGGAAGGACACCCACATCCGTGAGCTGGAGGACTACATTGACAACCTCCTTGTCCGGGTGATGGAAGAGACTCCCAGCATCCTGCGAGTACCCTATGAGCCATCCAGGAAAGCTGGCAAATTTGCCAACAGCTAGGAGAGCCAGTAGGAAGGAGAGAGAATGAGGGAATGAGAGGAAGGAAGGGAGTGAGGGTGTTACTGGAAGAGGCCACACTGTCAGGTGCACTTCCTCCCCATCATTGGGAAACACTGTCAGTCCTGTAGGTATCAAGAGTAATCTTTGAAGTGAGTAAAATACTCTGAACTCTTAAACTGAGAATGAGCCATGCCTTGATGAGTGAGCGGCTCTGTGGCATCACTTGGGTGCTGGTGCCGGACGTCGTCTGCCATAGGCCTGGAAATATATTCAACAGCCCATGAGTTATTCCTCAGGAATAGATTCCATAAAGCAGGATTGATGTGGTGTTGGATTCTCAGAGTCTATAGACACACTCAGTGTCAGGAACCCTGCTCGTTATAAACACTAGTAAAAAGAAGTTCCTCATACATGACTATGTATGTTCGTGTGTCTCTGTATATAAAGTAATGCATATACCTCATATACACATGTGTATTTAGGGCACTTAAAAACAAGTGGTTGCCTCTACACTAACTCTACAGTTAGGATACCAGTCTCATAGTTGAAAATGCGCTTTTGCAGAATGCCCTCAGGACTGCTTGTCACCAGGACCACCCCACTTCTGTGGAGAAGCTGTTTGAATCCAGTCCTGACTGTCTGAACCCTGATTTTGAAGATATTCACTGCATCCAGCTCTGGCTTCCAACTTTACCCCCAACTCCTGCCCAAACAGAACTGATGATCTCAAGTCTTTTTTTTTTTTCAAGGAGTGGCAGAATTTAGAGTTCGTTATTCTTTTCAGTGAAGCATGGGTTTCCTCATCTAGTGTTCTCCTGGTATTTGAGTTTATGGGAAGTGTAAGCAGAAGCTAGGCTCATACGGTTTATTCTCTGTGGATCATGAGCAAAGACAACAAAGAGTAAAGTTCTGCCTGAGAGTGATCGAGGGGATGGGCTGTGGTCTTTCCCTGATCACCCAAGGCAACAGCGACTTCTAGGGATGAGGGTCGGGTTTGGCTTCCATGTCCTCAGTGTAGAGCCCTGGACCCAGGCTCATCACAGCAGTGAGTGTTGAAAGCAGGTCTTCGCCAGCACCAGAGCGTGTGGCAGCCCCTGTGCGCCCTTGAGGAGAGCAGTCACAAGCTTTGGGGTCTGTGGGTAAGCCTGCCTCCCTGGAGTGATAGTTCCTCTGTGGGTTACCTTTATGTATTTGTACAAAATTATCCTGAAATTTAAAGTGAAAAGCAACGAGATAAGAACATTTCAGATCTTCTGGTATTTCAGCCTTTCCGATCTAAGCACCGTGGAACAGACTGTCTTTCAGAGCTGAGGATGAAAGGCTGCCATGTATAGAGACTGGTGGCTGAGTATGTCCCTAGCCCAGTAGTGAGCTGCATTTTTCTGATGCTTATCTTAAGTAAGACTTCACTGAGAGTCAAATGAATGCAGAGATTATAGTTTTGCTGATTTTCATACTTTTTAGTCACAAAATTCCTTGTTATCTGTATTTTCTGAGTTTCTGTGGTTTTCTAGAAAACATGGGTTTTGAAGTGAAATTTTTTCCAAATACAAACTTAAACACTTTCCTAAATTAAAGTAGAGAAGGAAAAATGGCTTTTTACAATCAATTTTCCTTCCACTTAATAATTAAAGTGATTCTAAATAAACTTTAGATTTGGTTTTCCCATGTGAGGTCTTGGTAAAATTTTTTTTAATGGTGCCACTTAAAATGAACATTTTTTAGATGTTACCAGATTCTTACATATTTTCATCATGGCATTGCTGAGACCTTACAACTTCTCACAGCACCTAAATCCTTGTATTCAGGGTTATGACAAGATAGCTGCAGTTAGGGTAACGTGCACCAGCCAAATATGTCCTGGGGTGGACCTGAGCTGTCTGGTGACTTTGTCCTGGGAATAAGTGTTCCATAAATCTCATTTTAAAAGCATAGTTCAAATGCCATGGTTCCTTCTATGAAAAGTAAGTCATAAGGCACAGCTTTTGCTTCCGTAAGAATATGAGCACATGTACTCATCTGCCCATAGGCACTAGCCAGGCTGAATGGGTATTTGCCTTTTCAGACTCTGAAATGAAGCTGTGCCCATTGGCAGTCTCATAGGCAGTGAGCTTTGAGGCACAAGCATTGTTGCTAAAAAAACACAAAGGTCTGAGACAAACAAAACATCTACATTTAGACTCTGGAAAATGTTGTATTCTAGAGGTAAGAATTTCACTTGTGAACTTAATGTTTGATCATCAGTTAACATGTTAAACTTACAAGTAAAATAAGTCTACAAGTGAACATAGCATGTGGGCTGTATCTAAGTGCACGTATGAGCTGGGCACTGTAGAAAGAAGGCTGAGAGGTCAGTTCATTTATTTTCCAAATGTAACAGAATATTCTAGTGGTTTATTTTTGTATTAACTTAGAAGTGGAAATAAATGTTTGCCTCTGTAAACAGCGCATGCACAGTAGATGTTTAAGGGCATTTGATTTCTGAGCTTAGCCTAAACATACATGCTCACAAAGACTTCTAACAAGATTTTTTTTTTTTTAAATCACAGAACCAACTCCTCTCCAACCTGATTTAAGCTAACACACTTCTGTTACATAATTTAACTTTCTTAAAACAACAACAACAGTATTTTACAACCAGTCTCTTCCAGTTCTAAACTCAGCTGGACAGTACTGCTGCTCTGGCCTGCCCCTGGGAGTTAAGGGCCTTGCTCAGAGTTGTACATAGGTACCACGTAGCCCACTCATGGTAAGTGGTGGAAGCCTTGCCTCTTGCTGCTGCCGTGTTCTGCATCGACTCCAGTTTTGCCCCCCTCCCATGAGTGTAGTATTATCATAGATTATACATAACTACATGTATTGCTTTTGGCAGTAAATCAAGTTCTCGTTGTAATTTTCCGGCTGTGAAAATGTTGCCTTGTGTTTAAAAGGGTTTCACGAGTGGAAGCCTAAGTAAATAAGCTCATTAGTGACAGGCCTGCTTTTCCATGTCCCCATTCCCCGTCTCCCCACTCCCACTGCACCCCGCTTGCCACCCCCATGTGAGCGCTTATCCTTAACAAGGAGAATCTTGAAAATGAAGAATCAAAGGGCGACCTGCTGTCTCTAAGTATCTGTAATAACTGTTACACCACAACTTTTGTTTTCCTGGATAGCGTTATTTCCCCTAAAAATAAAAGCGCTTCCCTTGGGTTGGAAGAGCAGGCGAGAACTCCTCACTGTCCATGTGTCTGTTGTCTGCCCTGGAGCTGCAGTGTGTCCCTCCTGTGCATGGGTAAAGGGTGAACGTGCCCAGTCATGTGATCTCCCCAGCAGAGGGAAGACTGCACTGTAGGCTCAGGGTGGTACTGGAGACGCTCTGTCAGCACACACCGAGAGCCCCCATTTTCACAGATTTAGAACTTTGATAATCCAGATGCTGTCCTTGGAAGTATTTAATATGCAATAGGTAGCACCTTCTCTAATTAATCTGCATATGAAGGGCTTCCCGATGTATTTAATAAGATGTGTAGAAGCTCTTCAAGCATTAAACTAAAGTTGACGTTTTGTTTCATTTACTTTTCGGTGTCAAAAAATGTCAACCCTTACAATGGAATTGAAAAGTCTGTTACCTAATGGTACATTTGGGCCTTTTAATTCTGAGGCTTCTAGATTGAATTGTGAGGTACAAAAAAATGCTGCAGATCTAGAAATGTATGTTCTTAGCAGGTATTTGAATGATGTAAGCATTCTTTGTAATTGAAGAGTATTACCCCTACCTTCTTAAGCTTAGTAACCCATATACATTTTTGCAGGTGCAAAAGTGTATAAACATTGTATAATGTGGCAGTCATAATTTATGTAAGCTGATGCATGAATCAGAATTTTTATATATGATAATTTGTCATTGTTGATTAAAGTGTTTGAACTTAATGCAGTCACCATTTCTTACTGTAGATAAAGCTGTTCCCACTCTCCATTTCTATAGGTGTCTTTATTGTGTCTTGCTAATGAGACCACTTGTGTTTGGGCACATGTTCAGTAAGGCCAACGGATGTGCCTTATAGAGAATGAAGTCATGTACAAGCAGAGGGTCTTTCCTCTTAACGTATGCAACCTTCTCTCTCTCTGTGCATATATGTGTGAGTGTGTGTGTGTATGTGTGTGTAGTGTGTAGGAGAAATAGAGAAGAGAGAGAACGTGCACATGTGCGTAGGTCCCTCCTGTCTCTTCCATAGGGGCATGCTGAGATTACATACATGCAAGATACATACACCACTGTATCCAGCTCTTACATGGAATCTAGGGATCAAACTCAGGCCATTAGACTTACACAGCAATCCCTTTATCCCTGAGCCATCTCCCCAGCCCCAGAAAAGTTTCTGAGAACTTAGGGGTTAGCTGTTCTTCAGCACATGCGCAGACACATGCGCTCTGCCATGCGACTTGCTCCCCGAGGGTCAGCTTTAGAAGGTGTTGGAAATGGCCTCATGAGTGCTGGCAATCAGGCTGAAGCCCATGGCAAGAGCCGCCTTCTGTGTCACTTCATTCCTCACAATCTGGCAAAGAGGACACAAGGCTCTGGAGGAAGTCATAGTCCAGGAAGAGTGAGATGGCACTGGCCATATGGCAGGGCGCCCGGCACTGGTGTTGCTGTGCAGTCTGGAGTATAGACGCTTCAGGCGCGGTTCACACGTGCTCCTGGATGTCACTCAGGCAAGAGCTTTCTCTGCAGAGCGGCTTAGCTTCCTGCTCGCTAGTAGCTTTTGGGTTTGCAGGGTCATTAGCCTGCCCCTCTCTTTCATGGTGAGTTTCCTCTGGTCTGTTTCCCTGCCATCTAGGCCTAGCCTACTCTTGTTCTCAGTCTGCACAGACAGAGGCAGTTGAGGGCAGTTTGGGAGCCGAAAGCCAGTGGTGCGAAGAAGTCACTTCAGGGGGCAGTTCCTGTCCCAGAAATGTATTTGTGCAGATGGGCTTACGATCCAAATGCCCCACATTTCATTCTTTCCTCAAATAACCTTGCATAACAAATTTTACACTTTAATCTTTTGTGGATATGTAGTTGCTTAAAATTATTTGAACCCTAAGTTCTTCATTTTTCTCGTACTTACTACACACTGAAGTTTCATGCCTAAATGGCCATTGGTTTTATCACTTGGTAGTCCCATCACATTGCCAGGATTCATGGCAGAAAACAAGACTGCAAGTCTTGCCGGCAGAGAAGGGTGTTATCACTGTCATAAGTAAGGGCAGCGTGAAGCCACATCTGACAGAAGCTTCTGGGTTTTGTTCATTACAGTGCTGATGACAAATACGCTCTGTTAGCCCTTAGGGGACAACTTTGGTGTCCTCACTGCGCTTGTCTCTCAGGGAAACCTGATATTAGGGGCTAGACTAGAGAGTGCAAGTGATTTAGGAAGTTCCATTTGGACCTAGAGCTGCAGCCTCAGAAATTTTGCCCAAGATAATATTAAGAGAATACAGTGGGCTGTGTCCAGTTAATACCGTCCCTATTGTGAAGAGGCCTGATGGAGAAGGCCGGTGATATCTGGAAGTAGGATAAAGAAACAGTGGGCCCAACTCAAGGTAAAATTATCATCCTTGGATTAATAATGGTTATATTCTGGGGAATCCTGCTGAAACCTACCACTTTTAAAGTGTCCTGCTATTGAACATCTTTCATGATTTAAAAGCTGTAAAATAGTTTAATCTGTGACGCCTTTGTTTACAAAGCCATCCACTTACTGCTGTGTGATAATGGAGGGCTTGAGGCCATCTGTGGAACATTCGAGGACTATGCTGCCCATCATGAAGATGTATACAGCAAACGAGGCACAAAATAGGAAATATTCAGGCCATGTTTGTGATGGAGACAAGCCATGTATTTAATTTTAAAAACAGTGTAGTCTGAGACTTGGCAAGGAGGCTTTCCAAAATGAAGCACTTTTCTAATTTCAGGCAAGTGTCAAAATGTCATTTTAGGAGCTGGGGAAATGGCTTAGTGGGTGAACATTGTTGATGCACAAGAATGAAGACCTGGGTTCAAATCCCCAGTGCGTATCTAAGTGTGGCCATGCACAGGCCTGTGATGTGGGGGCTGGAGACAGGAGGATACAGTGTCCTCTGGCCTCTTGCACACACATGGGAGAGGTGTGTACATAAGTGTGCAAATGCCATTTATTTTAGCTGATTTTAAAAAATGGCAACAATTTGAACTGAAATTACACTTCTAAGAGTTTGTGCTTCAGTGAGGGTCTCAGAATAGTCTGCAGCCCCACAGGGACTGTGAGACATCAGTGTGCTATGAGACCAAGAGGGGGCTGCTGCTGAGGCATTACCTTGAGTCCTGGCCTCATCCTTGGGGACAAAGCACCGTGTGTTCTTTGTGGCCATGCAGATGCCCTCTCCTTTGCCCTTTCCTCCCTCTCCTGTCTCCCTAGTCTTCCCCACCCTCCCCTTTCCCTCTCCTCTCTCTGTCCATGTGTCTGTCCATACATGAGTGTGTTGAGGCCAGAGACTGACATCAGGAATCTTTGCCAGTTCTCTTCCACCTAATATGTTGAGACAGGGTCTTTCAGTGAACCTGAAGCTCACCAGTTCAGCTCTTCGGGCCCAGAAACGCTCCAGTCTCTGCTGCTCAGTGCTGGGACTGTAGATGTAGGCCATGCACCCAGCGTTTTTACACTGCTGCTGGGAATTGAACTCATGCTTACATGCCAATGCGTTTCCAACCTAGTTATCTACCTGGCCCTGGAAACTGAGGGTTTCCAAGCCAGGAGAAACCCCTGGACTAACTGCTTCCAGCCAGGAGAAGGTCTAAGGCACTCTGACCTGCCCACATGCACTCATGGCCTCAACTGAATGAGCTGTAACCCCGTCAGGACAACTTCTTCCGGAATATACCAGCATAGTCTGTGTGCATCCAGTTTGCTGCTCACCAAGCCCTGAGAACCCCAGGAGGACTGTGGGTCTTTCTGAAATTGTCTTGTGTACATGAGTGTTTTGCCTCCATTCGTGTGTGCACCACATGCAATACTATGCAGGCAGCAGCAGACATCGGATCTGGAACTGGAGTTACGGATGATGTGAGCTGGGAACACGACCTCTGCGAGAGGCCCAAGTGCTCTTCACCCCAAGCCATCTCTCTGAACTACTTTTAATACTTCTGTTCTGGTGCCCAGACCAGACTCCCTTATAATTAAGCACAGTTTTTGCTTGTTTGTTTTATACCCCGTATAATACCTTGTAGTCTCGTAGGAGCACTGTGGCCTGCTCATGTTGCTCCAGAAAGCACATTTCCTTGTCAAAAACTGTAGAAGACCACTATAGTTTACCGAGCGTTACACTGGCTGTCCAGACCTATCAGTTCGCTGGGATAGCATTCAAATTATTTTACCCTTCCCTCCAATTCTTTTATTAATATTATCAAATGCCTTATGTGATAATATTTTCTACCCAAGATAATTTTTAGTTGTCCCTTCTCTTGACTCCGTTACATTGACCATTTTGTCATCCAATCAGCCTTACCCTAAAGTCTTCCTGCTGGTTGGAGTCCGTGAGACATTGAATCAAAGTCAACCCAGTTGTCCCTCTGGTTTTCTGTTTGTGTTTCCTAGTGACTGACTGAGCTTCCCTAGCTGTTCATATCTAAGTGACAAGTTTACAAACTTAGGATTTTCACTCGCATATGTCCTCATTCATTCATTTAATCGTTTTAAATTATGTGTAGTTTCAAGTTCTTGGCTTCCTGAAATTAACCATCTTTTTTCATCTCCAGCAAGGTCAACTCTTATGTGCTTATTTGGGTTCAATATGATTCTTTTGAAACTCACTAAGAATTCCTGGCAAGTGAGGATTGAGTTCAGTCGTTGGATTTCTAACATTTGCTACTTTGTAGATTCCTTTTTTCTTTTAGTCTTCTCTGCCCTCTTTCTTCCACCCTTTCAGCCCCCTAACTATAGATAGGAGAGAAAATAGTGGAGAAAGGGGATGTCATTATGGTTAGAGTACTTCCTGTTGATTAGGGGAGTTGAGTTCCTTGGGGCAAATTTGATCTTTGCCATCAGGCTATCTAATTTCTCTCTCTCTCTCCTTCCCCTTTTCTTCCTTCTCCTCCTCTTCTTCTCATTTCTTCTTTGTACTCAACTACTTAACAAACCATAACCACAGTATCCAAACACCAACCAGCAACCCGCCCTTCTAGCACTTATCCTCCGAAAAGTTTCCAGAATTTCAAATATCACACACTCGAAAAATGACGGCTCTGTTAGAAGACAAGGAAAATCATGGTCAGCTGCTACGAAGCAGCCCCATATCCCCACACCTGGGATTAAAATGAAAAATATTCTTACAATATTTCTGTGTTGTTTTTTTTTTTTAAAGAAACCAAAATACAAAATTCTCACTACAAACATCTAGTGTGAGGTACATTTTTAAACACTTGTTGGATGAGTGACAATTAAGATCCCTGTGGCTGCTATGGCTCTATTTTAAAGTAGTTTTGTTATAATGGAACATTCTCTGAAACGAGTAAAAAGAGGCAGTGGGGATTCACACAAGAAGACAAGTGATTGGTGTGAAAACGTTGCCAGAGCGAAGTACGAACAGACAGAAATACTTACTTCAGACTCCGGTCCCAGGGTACCAGGCTTTGATGGGATGTGTACTCAATTTCTTAGTGATTCCTTTATTTTGGTGAGGGATCCACAGTAGACTGTGTGTCTGTGTGTCTGTGCTCCCTGCTCCCCGACACCCTGACCAGAAGGAGATCCCTGCTCACTTTCGCCACCGTGCTCCAAGGCCGGTGTTGCGCCCTAGTACTCAGCAGTGCGTGTCTGAGAAGGAACGGAGGGAGGGCAAAGTGGCTCGTTCATTGGAACACCGTTTAAGGAAGGTCTTGGCTTTGTGATTTTTGTTTGTTCTTATTATTTGAA